CATAAAAGATATATTGATGTTAGAAAGATTAATGATTTGCTATAGCAACTATTGACAGTTCCATTAAAGACCTACAAAAACCACTTAAGTTGCTAATCCTGAAATCCTAACAAAGAAAGCCACAGCTAAAAGTGGGGTGGATAAAGAACCACAGCATTAACAACAACTCGTCAAAGAGACAAGTTGTGTGGTGCTAAGAATGGCGAGACTCACTGACGATGCCGACTACGATGCCGGCGAAACGTCCACGGTCCTACTCTGGAAACGATGATGCATACAATGGACTCCGGACTAGGTGCGTTTCTTTAGGTCTTCCTACCAATATGACCGAGTTGCGAAAACATGGTCAAACAACTTCTATTCAACGAAAGGAGACTGCGACCACACAAAAGGCCATACCATCTTGGTCCTTATGCCTTCGAAAGTAAAACAAGGCTCACAATGGGATGACTGTCCGAAGTGAAATCAGCCCCCTCGGACGGATATCCAGCAAGATTGCTCACTGTCAACCAGCAGGTGTACTCAGCCTCCAGAGCTGGCAAATCAATTAATGTCACGTATCCAGATGCCTGTTGATCATCAGGATTCGCCACCTCGACAGCGGATGGAAGTGGGGAGGGAAAAGTGGATCCCAGTACGCCAGTGTCTGTCTTATCTGCGCGTACAATGTTTCCGCATGCCGATTAATGCGTGTGTAATGGGAAGATAGAAAAATTGTGGGCGAATGAGTGTTTTCTTAAAAGTAATATCCTGAAATGCATTACAGCAATTAGGTCTGTTTTAATGGATAATAACATTGTAAGACAAAGGATGAAAATATAAATTTTTTGGAAAATGTGAAAAGCTATAGTAATCAATAAAATAATCAGCTCAAAGTAACAGCAATTACAAGGAAAAATGTTTGGTACAGAGACTACAGATCAGGTAAATGGTCGAATCAGTACAAAGTGGAGCTTAGAGACCAATTAAAGAAACTTGCTCAGGGGTGAATGATCTCGAGGATCAGCAACAAGAGGTCCTCCAGGTGCGGGTTGATGCGGCGGGTAGTAGCGTTCTGTCACAAAAGCCAACTGGTTGGGGGTAAAAGTGGAGGCTACACCAAGCTGGGAGGAGGAACCTGATACCACTGAGCTCATTAGGGCAGTCAAACTGCCCAAGATGCGCTAAAGAGAAAAATAGAAAAAATTAATGATAGTAAAGCTTAGCATATACTTAAAAATTTTACCCATAGCTAATAAAATTTTTTGATAAAAGCAAAAAGGAAGTCTTGAAACCTCATTTATAAACGAAAAATAGGCAAACGAGAGGTGTTTATAGGTAAGAACAGTGGTGGATTAGAAATACGAGCGGAAATTATGCTGAATTTCTTCTAGTCAGCAAATAATTAAATGAATCGCCTAGATTGACCTCTAGAATAACCCAGTTAGCTAATTTAAATGATGCAACCCTCAATAAGACAAAGATAATTCATGTAACTACATACAAAAAGCAGTTCGCAGACGGCCGTTGAGGCAAGAAATGTCACTTGAATCACCCAAGTTGATTACTATATTAAGATAAGTCGATCGATTTATCGAGAAAGCTAAATAAAAAATTGGCGGATTCTGGTATACTCGCAGGTACGCCTAAGACTCGAAGTTATGCTGACATGTTTTTACTAAAGCATAAAACCCAATTAACTATGAGAGGGCGATCATGATGGAAGTGTTATGATCATGACTCCAGGTTGGGCATAAGCTATATCTATCTTCTATGGAAAATAGAATTAATGAGAATAAGGAGTTGAAGTTGAATATAAGTTCATGAGGGCACAAAGAACATGATGGATGGAGAATATTTGATTGGAGCGAGATAACTAAGGCAGCTTGCTGGAGTTGTGTTGTGAACGTGAAGATGTCAACGGATAGAACGCTGTGGAGGTTCAAATTGATAGGTGGCGTTGATTTGAGGTCGACCTTGCGGGAAGTTCGTGCTAGTTCTGCGGAGAAATGGTTGCCTTTGATCTACGGGCGTTACAACACATCTGTTGAGAGACCTTTCCTAGAATGTATACGCTAGCTGAACATGCACTCCAAAACCTTAGCAGCAGCAATAGTAGCCACGTCAGCGCTTTTGTTTCAGCTAGCTTACGATGCACTTTTTCCGGCATACGCGACGACAGCATGTTAAATATAATCGCCTATTCTTTCCTAATTCAAAGAAAATGAGCCATATACTTCTGCTCCTTGTAATTTGCTTAAAGACAATATTTTATTATTTCTTTCCAAAAAGATAAGCACATCACTATGTCGTTATGGCACATAAGAACAGCCCATTAAACGAGTTCAAAGCAAAAAAATGTAACTTAATATATAAATTAACTGAAAGACATGGCATCACTTCCCAGCTAACCATATTATGTAAACTCAAGAGAGAGTAGATTGATAACAAAGCCACTCGCATCTCTTTTCACAAGCCAATGGCCAGTTTCTAGGACGATTAGTAATTTGAATTGAAAAATTTTTCCCAAGCTAGAATAGGTGAAAACCTAGGATAGAGCCCAGACCGGATTTAAACAGGGGTTCGGTAAATGTAACAAGTTCATTGTTTAAAACATCATCACAAAGCGACTTGATAAAATGTGCGTCGGGAAATATTTCTCAAATAAATAACTAAAAAAGAGAGATGACTTCGTATAAGCCACCCAGGAATAATCATGAGAATTCCAGGCTACCTACGAATTTCACTTGAGAGTAATTAGTACATAATAATTAGTCAAGCCCTGTACCCGTAGTCACTTGACAGAGAATCAAATAGCCAAGCAAATGGCGATAAACCATCACTTAGAAATCAAATTGACTCTTAGTTAAAAAATAGTTTATATAATTAGCCTTATACAAGGTATTTATCTTAGTTCGAATACTGATCTAAGCCCCATTTTCGAAATAAAATGACTAAGTCGATCTAAGACTCTGGGTTAACTAATACGGAATAGCCGAATCTCCTTAAGTGAATGACCTAACTTATGTAGTGACTGCGTTAGCTGG